AACCCCCCCCCCCCCCAGCCTGGTTCCTCCCCCCACCCGCCATATTAGAAAGCAACATGGAGGCATTTCAATGAAACCCTGGGAGCGAGACCTTCCCACATCGCTATGACAACGGGGAACGACCGCCGACGGAAGCCATTTGAGGCAATCTCCTCAGATGTGCCCAATCCTAGTGTCATATAATACATTTAGGTGTGGAGTTGGCCTTTAATAATGATCATTTTATAGTAGAACGCCTTATTCTAATCACGGTTAGCGTGTTAGGTTTTCGTAGTGTACCCCACCGACCTGTAATAGACATCAATCAAATTGTGAGGGAGCGCAGCCTGTGAATTACAGAACACATACATATAACAGCAGCTGGACAGAAAACATTATTATCATCAACATTATTACCACAAAACAATCACTACCTAATAATAATAATAACAGGTTGATAATAAACATATGATCACATAAGCTGAAGTACAGCTCTATCATCTATTACAGCCTGTTACTTTCCACCTTCACAATGAGCACCGTGTGGCCACCGCTGAGGTAAATACCTTTCCTCACATAAAAAAAGAGCGGGAAGTCGGGAGATGGGTGGAGCCACGACGTCACCTGCGTTCTCATTGGCCCAACAAATAAAAGGGCGGCATGAAGAGTTCCGCGGAGCTTGTGACTTCCGGCTTAGCGGAAGTGAGTAAACTGTGAAAGAAAAAGCAAATGAATAAAAAAAGGACGCTTCCTTTTTTTTTGTCTTAGCAGTGCAGCCAGACATAAGCTGAGTCGGGGAGGGTTGCTTGAAGCTTTTAAGTGCTCAGCAGTAGTGATGGGCCGATCACACCCGAGTTCGGTTCTAACTTTAGAACATGGAAAAAGTTTGAACGCAAACTCAATGAAAGTCTATGGGGCTAGAACTCTGAGAATCAAATGTCCCCATTTTGAACTGCCATGGGGGACAGGAATCAATGAAAAAAAACTTTTAAATAAATACTGTTTTTAAAGGAGCAGTGATTTTAACATCACTTAAAGTGAAACAATAAAAATAAAACAATCCTTTAAATATTGTGCCCCATAATCTGCCTGTAAAGTGGCAAATCTGTACGATGTATAGAACCTGCTGCATCAAAACTGACACTTATAAAGAAAACAAATACCCGATCCTTTAGGTTTGGAAGGAATGTTATGAGGGGCCCCATTTAAAAAAAGAAAAGAAAAAAAAAAAGTGTGTGGGGTTCCCAAAATCATACCAGGCCCTTAAGGTCTGGTAGGAATTTTAAGGAGGAACTCCAGCCCAAAAAATGGGGGGGGAAAAGATGTGGGGTCCCCCTAAAATTCCCAACCAGACCCTTGATCCGAGCACAGGCCTGGCAGTGCAGGAAAGGGAGGGGGCGACTGAGCGCCCCCTGTCCCCCCCTGCTATACTAGGCTACATGCCCTCGGCACTGGGACGGGAGCTTTTCCAGGGTCGCCCCTGGAAAAGCACCTTGTCCCTGTATGGACCAAACTCAGTCCTAACCTGATCCCCTCTGAACCCGGAAGCAGAACCCCCAAAGCTCCTTCTGTGCTGCCCAACCAGCTGTGAGTGGGGTATTTCCCACCCGCAGCTTGACGTAAGCAAAGGGGCGGGATGTAGTGATGCCATTGACCTTATATGGCTACATGCCTATATTTGGTATATGGCTGTGTGGCCATATAAAGTCAATGATGTCAGCACAAGCGTCGCACCCCTCACGGTACAGTGTTGCGGAGAAGGGCGCTCACTGCAGCATCAAGGAACGTCCATCAGCACTGCTGGAAAAGAAAGAGAAGGACACTTAGGTGTCATGTGATCAGCCAGAAGACAAACTAAAATACTTGGTGGTGGGGAGGTCTTTGGGAAGGGGGGGTGGGATTGGCCACAACCAGGTACCCCAATGTTCAGCAATAAGGCAAAAGCTGAAAGAATCCAAAAGCGCCTTTAATTGTTCACAATTCGATCAAACAAAAAACGTCCAACGCATTTTCGGGGGACAACACAACTTCCCCTTCCTCAGGTTGAAATAATAGGATTAGGATTTGATTGGACTCAGAAAATACTATAACCAAATGGATCTGTGTACGATTCGATAAAAAGTTCTGCTTTAGGGCTGGAATTGTATTTGGCAGCAGCAGAAACAACCAGGTACACCTGACATTTTCAGAAAGAGCTCAGCAATGGCTGCCTACGCGTACAGGTGCACTTTAAAAAAGATAATGCATTTTAATGGCGCACTCATCCTTCAATCAACTGTGGGGGGGGATTGAGGAACGATGGCATAAATCTGTGGAAAGAGGAAACCCCTTTAATAGCATGCATATGTTGCGTTCTGCGGATGACATAAGTCCGCACTTTAGACCTCCCAATTTATTATGAAAGACTAGGAAACAATCATCAGGAGAAAAATGAAGCGTCGTCGTGTGGTGTGGGCATGGGGCTTTAAGCTGCAGGAACAGCTGGCAGCTCTGCGGAAGGGCCCCTTTAATCCGCTGTTATATCACAGAGAGCGAGCTGTGACTTGTTCCTCTGCCAGGAGGACACATTAATGAGAACGCTCTTCTTATCATTTAGTATCAGGAGGCCAGCAAGAGCTGGAAAGAGACCACTCAGACTCCGAGCGAGCCCACAATCATCGACTCAAAGGACAACTTCCTCCTGGCTAGCAGAAACGCAGTGAGTACCCCTCTACTCTGTTCTTTGCTTGTTGATATACAGAATATACTTACTGGACACACAGAGGTATAAGTACATTACAGCATGTAGAGCCCTGGTGCCCAACTAGGGTTGCCACCTTTTCTTCAAGTGAAACCCGAACATTGTAGCGCTGCATACAGCAATTTTCAGGTGGCTATGCGTGCTCTCAGGTGGGCTTTGCGGGCTCTCAGGTGGGCTGTGCGGGCTCTCAGGTGGACTATCCGTGCTCTCAGGTGGGCTATGCGGGCTCTCATATGGGCTATGCGGGCTCTCAGGTGGCTGTGTAGGGTCTCAGGTGGTCTATGCAGGCTTTCAGGAGTGCTGTGCGGGCTCTCAGGTGGGCAATGCGGGCTCTCAGGTGGGCTTTGCGGGCTCTCAGATGGGCTATGCGGGCTCTCAGGTGGCTGTGTAGGCTTTCAGGTGTGCTGTGCGGGCTCTCAGGTGGGCTATGCAGGCTTTCAGGAGTGCTGTGCGGGCTCTCAGGTGGGCAATGCGGGCTCTCAGGTGGGCTTTGCGGGCTCTCAGATGGGCTATGCGGGCTCTCAGGTGGCTGTGTAGGCTTTCAGGTGTGCTGTGCGGGCTCTCAGGTGGGCTATGCGTGCTTTCAGGTGGGCTATGCGGGCTCTCAGGTGGCTGTGTAGGGTCTCAGGTGGTCTATGCAGGCTTTCAGGAGTGCTGTGCGGGCTCTCAGGTGGGCAATGCGGGCTCTCAGGTGGGCTTTGCGGGCTCTCAGATGGGCTATGCGGGCTCTCAGGTGGCTCTGTAGGGTCTCAGGTGGTCTATGCAGGCTTTCAGGTGTGCTGTGCGGGCTCTCAGGTGGCTGTGTAGGGTCTCAGGTGGTCTATGCAGGCTTTCAGGAGTGCTGTGCGGGCTGTGTGGTGTCTCACCAGGGGTCCAGAGGCGGGCAGCATGGTGACAGGAAGACAGAGATGTTTACAGGCACCTGCGGCTCACAGGAAGGCTGCCGAGGTCCCCAGCAAGCACGGGACCTCAGGCAGCTGCATCCAGGGATCTCAAGTCTCCCTGATGTTCAGGGAGTCTCCCTCTATTAGATAGCAGCTCCCTGAGGTCTGCGAGAGAGGCATTTTCTCCCTGAAAGGTTACTCTGAGTAAACCTTTCAGGTAAGATATCAGTGGGTAAAGTTTCAGAGTGAGGCTTGCCTCCTGAAGGAAGGTCATGTGATCTCTAGAGTGGCCTCAGAACGAGGCTTGGCTCTCAGAAGGACTGTGTGTGTGTGTGTATGTGTATATATATATATATATTTATTATCATCATTGTTATTTCTTTTATATTCTGACGACGGCCGTTGTAAAAAAAAACAGAAAGGGCACCTCCCTGAAATGAGACGGGAACCTCCCTGAAACAAGGATTTGCAGGTTGGGATGTCTGTGCATCTGGCAAAAATTTTAAAGTGCCGGCACTTAAGTGTTAGCTGGCCTGAAACCTGGACACAGGACTCCAAAAACTGGACTGTCTGGGTCAATCCCGGACAGGTGGCAACCCTATGCCTAACCTGTGTCCTTTTGGTACTCTATGGGCCCCTGTAGTCAGCAGTCTATCAGGTCTATTTATAGAAGGGTGAAGAGTTTGGAGAAGGCCAGAGAAGGGAACAATCTAGGACAAAATAGCTGATTTGGAAAAATTCTCCAATTCAGCTCACTTTCCAGTTCCGCTATGTTGTCCTAGATTGTTCACTTCTCCGGCCTTCTCCAAACTCTTCACCCTTTTGTGACTAACCCTGTATGTTTCCCTTACCTAGGTGCTTACTTAGGCCAGGGGAGGAAAGTATTCTTCAGGCTGTTACTTCTGTCTGTGCTGCCCGTCACTTTTCTCTTTTTTTTTTCTCATTTGATCTTTTATAATGGATCTTGCTGAGTAGTTTTTAAGGGGGTCACAGGGAGCACAAACATGGAACCATTGATTTGTAATAGGTTCTGTAATAGAAGTCATCTGTAAGGCCCCATTCACATTGAGTGATTCGCATTTTGCGCGATATCGCGCGTTTGTCGCATGATATCGCGCAAATGCTTGCATTGAGCAAGCTAGAATCGCGGCAAAATCCGCTCCAAAAAGGGTCCTGCTGTAGCGACGCACGACCCGCGACAGCGACGGACAGAGCCCCATTGAGATGCATTGGAGAGCGATACCGCGGGAAATACCGCGCGATAAATCGCTCAGTGTGAATGGGGCCTAACAGTCTTATGTAATGTATCTTCAGTCTATGATGTTTTCTCAAGCATGTTTGCAGTCTGTGACCATCTCTTGTGCCATATCTGCAGTCTCTAACCACCTCTTGTACTATGTATGTAGTCTCTGGCCATCTCCTGTACTATGTCTGTAGTCTCTGGCCATCTCCTCTACTATGTCTGTAGTCTCTGACCACCTCTTGTACTTTGTCTGTAGTCTCTGGCCATCTCTTGTACTATGTCTGTAGTCTCTGACCACCTCTTGTACTTTGTCTGTAGTCTCTGACCACCTCTTGTGCTATGTCTGCTGTCTCTTACCATCTCTTGTGCTATGTCTGTAGTCTCTGACCACCTCTTGCAGCATGTTTGCAGTCTCTGGCCATCTCCTGTAGAACAGCCTCGGGACGCCCCTGCTTCTGGTCCTTATTGCTGTATGGTGTATAGGGGACATCTTCGATTACTGATCTCCTGTATTATTATGTCTGCAGTCTGTGGCCATCTCTTGTACCATGTCTGCAGTCTGTGACCATCTCTTGTACCATGTCTGAAGTCTGTGGCCATCTCTTGTACCATGTCTGAAGTCTGTGACCATCTCTTGTACTATGTTTGCAGTCTGTGGCCATCCCTTGTACTATGTTTGAAGTCTGTGGCCATCCCTTGTACTATGTCTGAAGTCTGTGACCATCTCTTGTACCATGTCTGAAGTCTGTGACCATCTCTTGTACCATGTCTGAAGTCTGTGACCATCTCTTGTACCATGTCTGCAGTCTGTGGCCATCTCTTGTACCATGTCTGCAGTCTGTGACCATCTCTTGTACCATGTCTGCAGTCTGTGGCCATCTCTTGTACCATGTCTGCAGTCTGTGACCATCTCTTGTACCATGTCTGAAGTCTGTGACCATCTCTTGTACCATGTCTGCAGTCTGTGACCATCTCTTGTACTATGTTTGCAGTCTGTGGCCATCCCTTGTACTATGTCTGAAGTCTGTGACCATCTCTTGTACCATGTCTGAAGTCTGTGACCATCTCTTGTACCATGTCTGAAGTCTGTGACCATCTCTTGTACCATGTCTGCAGTCTGTGGCCATCTCTTGTACCATGTCTGCAGTCGGTGACCATCTCTTGTACCATGTCTGCAGTCTGTGACCATCTCTTGTGCCATGTCTGCAGTCTGTGACCATCTCTTGTACCATGTCTGCAGTCCGTGACCATCTCTTGTACCATGTCTGCAGTCTGTGACCATCTCTTGTACCATGTTGGGAGTCTTTGATCATCTCTTGTACCATGTTGGGAGTCTTTGATCATCTCTTGCACCATGTTTGGAGTCTGTGGCCCTTCCCTTACCTGGACGCATGGCGAGGGTGGCGTACGGTAAGTATGCAGCCCACTACATTCGTCTACACTTATTCCTGTTACATCTAGAATGCAAGAAGTTCTCTAATTATACTGATCAATGATCTCAAAAAATGTTTACTGCCAACCGTTAACCTTAAACCATTGTACACTGCCTCCACAGCAGCAGTGCTTGTACAGAGGAGGATGAGAATGACCATGTCTTGCCATCACATGTGAACGTACGCCTCTGCTTTGTTTGACTGATGTTATGTATTGTAAAACAAAATAAAAAAATTATTGATAAAAAAAAAATATATATATGTGTTAACTTTTTTTTTGCATTAGGAGATGGAAGTTATTTCCAATTTGCGAACAATCAACCTGACGGGCAGCCACCTCCATGCGCAGCCTGCGTACCAGTACTCCGTCTCCAATGAAAACCCCTCCTACACCGACTACAAGCCAATTCAATTGGAGCTCATCCCTCTCCCAAAAGCCGTCATCTACCTGCTTATGGCGGCAGTGGTGGTGGTGGGCGCTGCTTACGCCATCGTGGGTCACCTCATTAAGGATTTAGCGCATGACATTGCAGGTAAAGACTGATCCCACCATGTACCTTAAATATACCGATATAAGTAGATTATACACAGATCAGCCATAACATTATGACCACTGAGTGGTAAAGTGAATTGCATTGCAGTGTGATGCTTTGGGCAATGTTCTGCTGGGACACCGCGGGTCCTGCCATTCATGTGGATGTCACTTTGACACGTACCACCGACCTAAACATTGTTACTGACCAAATCCACCCCTCCATGGAAACAGTATTCCCTGATGGCAGTGGTCTCCTTCAGCAGGATAATGCGCCCTGCCATACTACAAACATGGTTCAATGGTTTGAGGAACATAACAATGTTGACTTGGCCTCCAAATTCTCCAGATCTCAATCCAATGGATCATCTGTGGAATGTGGTGGAAATACAAGTCCGATCCATGGAGGCCGATCACCTCACAACTTACAGGACTCAAAGGATCTGCTACTGACGGCTCGGTGCCAGATACCACAGCACACCTTCAGAGGTAGTGTTGCCACCTGTCCAGAATTCACCCGGACAGTCCGGGTTTTGAGTGCTGTGTCCGGGTTTCATGGCAGCTGAAACCCGGACACAAGATGTCAAGCAGACAGAGGCAACCAAAATTAAGATAGGGGCTACTGGCCCCCCACTGAAAATAGTCTCAACTGTTATTTTTACATATAACTGTTTGGCGCTATTTATATATGAATAAGCTACGATTCCTTCTCCCAAAAATATTTCCACGTGTCCCTAGAGTGTTCGGGTTTCGCTTGAAGAAAAGGTGGCAACCCTATTCAGAGGTTTAGTGGAGTCCATACCTGGACGGGTCAGGAAAAGGGGGAACTACTCAATATTAGGCGGGTGGTCATAATTTTATGGGTGATTGGTGTAGTATGCCTTAGAAAAATGTTAACCCTTTTTGTATTTGTATGATTTGGAAGCCGTCACAACATGACCTATTTTTTTTTCTTCCGTTTCAGATTGCATCTTAGGGCCTAATATGGAAAGTAAAAGTCACTTGGCTCATGACACGAGATCTACACGGCCTCTCCTACCACCACCCGGGGATAAAACAGACGTGTACTGCTTGCCCAGCCAGCCCGAGGTCTGCGTGTCCATGACGAAAAGCAGCGAGAACCTCTACCTGCCAGCATCGTATGGCGGGAACCTCGGTCTGCGCAGAGTCTCCTTGCAAACCGTCTGAAGTCCTGGGACATGGTACTTCCCGCTGTGTAGTATATTCTGACTGATGACTGATGGGAGTATGCGCACATTACCCAGAAGCCCTCGACTCAGGCCAAGTATCCAGTTTGGGTGCTGGGGGTGGGATGCAGGAACGTGGAATTAAACCATCACCCACAGCAACCTTAACTATGACAGTCCCGAGTGTAAGGCAAGTGTGGCGATTGCCAGAAGTTGACAACGACTCCATCAGCCATGCAGGCCATGTAATGTAGATCCAACCATAGCTTCAATCTTGGTGCTGTAGCCATAGTTGCTGCATGTATGAGCGACAGAAAGATGGACGGCACCAGATGTCAGGCCTTCTCTATGGCCAATTCAGTTCAAGTATTGTAACATGTTATTATTTTACATCCAGAGGTCTTTATGCTATGTGTATGTGCCGAATTTGCTATGCCATCTTGTTATGCCCTTTATTCCCTTGCTGTGGATAAGTAATGGAAACAGACTACCTTTCCAAATGTTTCGGAAGAGCGAAGATTTGTCATCAACCAATCAGAGGCAGACACGGGTGGGGGACCCAATATGCCATTTTCCAAAATGTTTCTTTTGCACAATGTATAAATGTAACAAATGAGACTAAATCATATATGTATGACAATCAACTTTTGGATTTTATGTAATGCATAAATGGCATCTTTTTTTAAAAATTAGAACCCCGCCTCCCTCATATTTTCGGTCTTAGCCAGGGGTAGGCAAGCTCAGCACTTCAGATGTGGTTCAACTACAAATCCCATCATGTGTCTGCCTCTGGGAGTCATGCCTGTGACTGTCAGAGTCTTGGAATGCCTCATGGGACTTGTAGTTCTACAACAGCCAGAGTGCTGAGGTTGCCTATCCAGGGTCTAAGCCAGGGGGAGCAAAACTTCAGTCCTGCAGCTGCGGTGAAACAAATCCCTTGAGGCATTGCAAGACTCTGACAGCCACCCAGAGACATGATGGGATTTGCAATTTCACCACAGCTGGAGGGCCGAAGTTTGGTTACCCCTGGTCTAAGCTATACTAATCATTTCTGGTGACTTAATGCGCTGTTATAATTCAAAGATGTCATCAATGCGTCAAATCATTTCATTTTAAAGCCCTTAAAAAAATTTCATCCAGAGCTGCTACTTGGATGGGATCTCAGGTAGCATGCAGAGACGCAATCTATTACACAGAGTCGGAGCCTTGTACAATCTCATGCAATTACTGGCTACTAGATGATGGCTGGGGGGTGCGTTGGGCAGCACAAGCAAGTTAGACTAATATGATGCAGGCTACAGGAAGAAGTATATGGTGACACAGATCATTCACTGTATTGTATCTATAGAGAAGTGTTGTCATCCAAGGACGGGACTACAGAACCCATCTCCTCACCACGATAACATACACAGGTGCTGTTTTGCAGTCTACAGCAAGAACTAGGAACAAATATATATATATATATATAACAGGCAGCAGAGAGAAGCGCAGGAAGTTATCAGCTCACAACAGGTATTTTTTTTTTTGCACTCATCACAGTTAAAACTAAACTCTATCATTGGGATATTTAAAGCAGAAGTGTTCTTTACCCTCGCAGTGGGGCTTCCCCTGCACTGCAAGGGTTAAGTGCTCATTTTTGTCTAGTTAGACTCACCCGAACCCCGGCGCAGACTTGCTCTTAGACTGGCCCCTGAAGCCTCTCTGCTGCAGTGGTCTAAGGTGCCCGAGTCATCATGTTCTATATACAGTCTATATGATGTGAGGAACATCCCATCGCTGCAGTAGAGGAGGAGACAAGCTTTAGGGACTGGGGTAGCTGGTTTGGGTGAGTATAACCCTATTATTTTTTGTTTTTAGCACCTAGGCAAAAACGAGCATTAACCCTTTCAATGCAGGGGTAGCCCCACTGCAAGGGTTAAGAACACCTTTGCCCAGAGTTTTGCTTTAAAGTGACATTAAAGGCAAAAGACACACACACACACACACACACACACACACACACAGCTAAAGTAAGGACTTGCCTTAAATCATGCCTCTTAATCCGATCTTCTTTCCTGTAGTTTTTAGCTGTCCCTCCAGGGCTGGTGCGGGTCTCTGATCCAGGGCCGTCTGCTCTGATGTCCCACGGAGTCTGTGCGGGTGCATATTCTTACCCTGTGCTGCTCCATATTCTTACCCTGTGTCCCTCCTCGTCTCCCGGCCGAACATCTGAACTGCGCATGCGACCGCCCCAAGATCTCGGGCGCCCGAGAAATTTTCCGATGTTCGGACGGGAGCACGCAGCGGAGACACAGGTAAGTATTAACCCTTTCAAAAAGTGTTATTTTTATTGTTTTGCATATATCTACTGCTTGCTAGCCGTATATATATGCAAAAGCCACTGAGGGTTTAATAACCCTTTAAGTTTAAAAGGGAGCAAAGATAAAAGTTTATGGTCAGGGTTTATACTTTAATGGAGCTGTAGCATGCAACATAAAAATCTAGGTGCTTATGTAGGAAAGCCAATTGCATTCTTATTTTAAATGCGTGGTGAAGTTATACTGAAGTCTAGCGGGTGAGATGTGCAGAGGAAGTGAAGGGCGTCACATTCGCATCTGAATAAAATGACATCATAGGGAGCTATTTGTTCTATCGTTTTTGGTGATCAATTGCTCATCCAACCAATTCATTGCTGGCAATTTTATTCGCTTGACCGAGAGATCAAAGATCCCCCATGTAGCTCAGGCACAGAGATCAAAGATCCCCCATGCAGCTCAGGCACCGAGAGATCAAAGATCCCCCATGCAGCTCAGGCACCGAGAGATCAAAGATCCCCCATGCAGCTCAGGCACCGAGAGATCAAAGATCCGTCATCCAGCGCAGGCACAGAGAGATCAAAGATCCTCCATGCAGCTCAGGCACCGAGAGATCAAAGATCCCCCATGTAGCTCAGGCACAGAGAGATCAAAGATCCCCCATGCAGCTCAGGCACAGAGAAATCAAAGATCCCCCATGTAGCTCAGGCCCTGAGAGATCAAAGATCCTCCATGTAGCTCAGGCACCGAGAGATCAAAGATCCTCCATGTAGCTCAGGCACCGAGAGATCAAAGATCCTCCATGTAGCTCAGGCACCGAGAGATCAATGATCCCCCATGCAGCTCAGGAAGAGAAATCAAAGATCCCCCATGTAGCTCAGGCCCTGAGAGATCAAAGATCCTCCATGTAGCTCAGGCACCGAGAGATCAAAGATCCTCCATGTAGCTCAGGCACCGAGAGATCAATGATCCCCCATGCAGCTCAGGCACCGAGAGATCAAAGATCCTCCATGTAGCTCAGGCACCGAGAGAGCAAAGATCCTCCATGTAGCTCAGGCACCGAGAGATCAAAGATCCTCCATGCAGCTCAGGCACCGAGAGAGCAAAGATCCTCCATGTAGCTCAGGCACCGAGAGATCAAAGATCCTCCATGTAGCTCAGGCACCGAGAGATCACACATACACCAAACACACTTGCCTAATTTTTTTTTAGTAACAATTTAGCTCTAATAAATGCCAAAGTAGTTGCAAGTATTGTCTTGCAGTAACCAACAGATACCATGTATAGATTTATGGAAAGACGTTGGCTATGTGATATATGTGACGCTTTATTTCAAATACATGAACATGAAGATTTGAACGTCAACTTCTGAGTGCTGCTGATCCTCAATTTCTACGGATTGATGTACATGGTGCCGTTATTATCACTACAAGCACCACCATTGCTATTGGTCCTAAACGCTGCAAGGAGTGCAGGAGTACACATCTGCATACTAGGCTGGGGAGGAAAGCGCTAGGGCAGGGGTGGGCAACTCTGGCCCTCCAACTGTACTTTAACTACAAATCCCATAATCCCTCTGCGTCCGAGACTCATGCCCGTGGCCGTCAGAGTCTTGCAATGCCTCATAAAAGGTGCCCATACACTGCACGATTGTCGTGGGAAATCCCGCGATCGAACGAGAATCGAGCAGTGTGAACGGAGACGTGCGACCGTTTGTACTGTACGGTCGCACGTCTTCTGTCGAACCAGCATGTTCGAAAACCAGCCGGGAATCGTACGATTCTCGGCTGGTTAGAACGGTGCTCGGAAGACAAATGCCGAACGGGCCGGTGTGCGCACGCGCACACTGCCCGTTCAGCATTGCGGTCATCGGGGCGGGCTTGCGATGATCAAGAGTGCGATCTGCCAGTCCAAGATAGGCAGATCGTACGTTTTTTTTAATCCCTGTACAACCATCGCAAGACTAAGGTCTTGCGATGGTTGTAGAGTGTATGGCCACCTCATGACTTCCACAACAGCTGGAGGGCCGGAGTTGACCGCCCATGCTCTAAAGAAGGTACTATTCCAATGACTAGTGATGGCGCTTCTCTCTGGCACATGCCTGCTAGAGCCTTGGTTTTCAACTGGTGGGTTGCGACCCCATGTTCAGTGGGTCGCCAAATGCCTTCCACTTTTCTAGGCGAGTGGCTCCTCAGCCTCCCCCTTGCGCAGCACCGTCAGTTTCCACGCCAAGCAGCCATTCATAATATGCTGCCCGGCGCCGAGTGTCAGCTTGAGGTGGGGTGAGCTGGAGCTATGGCTGCGAGGAAGCTCCATCCATACGTGCATTACTTACAGCATGTCCTGTAGAGGTGCCTGCACCGGAGTGACATCACGTTCTAGCTCCCGGCACCTCTACAGGGCATGCAAGGAAGTTATACAAACAATGCATGCATGCATGCATGCATGTAGCAGTTGATTGGTTGCCATGGGCAACTGCTCCAGATTCTGTTTGCTCCAGTTTTTATGAATCCCCCTCCCCACAGTGTGCAGTGAAATCAGAGGAAGAGGAGAGGAGGAGTCTCTACAACTGTGCAAGACTGAAGGGAAAACATTAGAAACTGCACAGAGGAAATGCAAACATAATGCCCTATAGAGTACATCTGCAAAATAGGACTATATGATCATACACCTGTGCAGTCTCCCCCCCCCCAGTCTAAGGACGTGTGTGCGTGTGTGCGCGTGACCAAATGGGCCCTAAAGTGTATCACTGCAGAAGAGACCAACGTGACCCCCCCGTCATTAAAAAAACCACAAAACAATATCCTGATAAACTATATCTTTATTCCAGCTGGTTGTATCTACAGTCTGAAAGAATAGTAGTAAAATGCGGATTCCCTTTTTGTAGGCAAATTTAAACTTTTGATACCAAAAAAGGTGGGAAAATGGGAACGATCCAGAAGAGCAATAACAATAAATACCGGGTCATGTTTTATAAAAAGAAACA